TTCACTGATTGTGTTTTCTCTCCCACTGGTTTGCATGCTGGCTGCTTATTCTGTTCCTCAGTGTGTGTGTTTTTTTTAAAGTAGTTATGTATTATACTGTATTTTTAGTTTCATTGTGCAAACATTGTGTGTGTGGTCAAACGTATATTTTAGTTTCACATTAACATTAGTATCCTTCCACTGTTGTGTTAATTGGCTTTTAATTTGGGTTGTGAGCATGGAGGCAAAGAATAACCTTAATAACTGAATTGGATTGGTTTCAGGCTTCATTATAAGAAAACATTATTAGGGTTATGAATATATACAAATACAGTTTGTTAACACAAACTCACAAGAATTATAAAAAAAACTGAAGAGTGTGTGTTAAAAAGAAAACATGCCAACCAGGGACTCACATTAATACCTCTGCAATGATCAACATTTTGTTTATGTTAACCAAGTGTTCTTCTTAAGTGAGTTCATATTAATGATGGTTTACTGTATCTTTAAGCTGCTTGATGACAGCTCTCTCTCTTTTTTTTCTCACACACAAACACACACACACAGAGAAACACTACTAAATCACAATTCACATACTCACACATGTATCCTTAGGCCATTTTATTACACCCCACATACCCACACCTGCATCATTAGGCCATTTTATCACGGCCCGTATACCCACACATGCATCATAAGGCCACTTTATCACAGCCCATATGCCACACATGCATCTTTAGGTCACTTCTTCATAGCCCATACATACATCAGGCCATTTCATCAGCCCACACACCCACACCTGCATCATTAGACCATTTCATCACAGCCCACATACCGAAACATACATCATTAGGCCACTTCATCACAGCCTACCTATTTACCCACACCTGCATCATTAGACCATTTTATCACAGCCCATATACCACACATACATCATTAGGCCACTTTCATCACAGCCCATATACCACACATACATCATTAGGCCACTTTCATCACAGCTCACATACCCAAACAGATCATTAGGCCACTTTCATCACAGCCCATATACCACACATATATCATTAGGCCATTTCATCACAGCCTACATACCCAAGCATACTTCATCAGACCACGTAATCACAGCCTACATACCCAAGCATACTTCATCAGACCACGTAATCACAGCCCACATACCCAAGCATACTTCATCAGACCACTTAATCACAGCCCACATACCCAAGCATACTTCATCAGACCACTTAATCACAGCCCACATACCCAAGCATACTTCATCAGACCACTTAATCACAGCCCACATACCCAAGCATACTTCATCAGACCACGTAATCACAGCCCACATACCCTGACAGTTCAGAGGAGCCAAATGTGCTCAACTACACATTTGGGTCTATGGGTCTGTTGTACCACGAAATAGAAGTGCAAGGGCATTTGCAGCACATAATGCAGGCAGAACAGTCCACCTATTCAGCAATGCCTTCTCTATAACTGCCAGCACCAAGAGAATGGAGGTGACATAAGCTTTTTGTTTTGCTGAAGTCACAGCTATTCTCATGTCTTTACGGATTTATTCCATGAGTACGATCCGTTGGGTCAAGGCTGGCTGGCAATGGAAGGAGCCACAGCAGAGGTCCGCCCAATATGGAGTTGCCTTAATCTTTCTCCCGGACATGTGGATGTTGTTGGGGGCTCTCAGCGCCTATGGACGTGTCTGGGATATTCCACTTCATCACACACACACACACACACAAACAAATATCTTTATGTCACTTCATCACACCCCACATGCACAGACACACATATCCTTTGTATTGGTGAGCAATTCCCACACCCAGTGCCATACATAGAGACTAATCTCACCGACACGCTGTGTTCAAAACCACATTTTCTGTGTTCAAAACCACATTTCCCATGTTCAGCCCACGTTAACCATGTTCAGAAATAAAAAAATATAAAGACCACATTTCCCATGTTCAGACCACATTTTCCAAGAACATAAGAGGAATCCTTTTTGTTTGGCTTTGGTGGCTGCTAACAAGGCACATGCTAAAGCTTATTTTTGGAGTTGCGTAGATGTTTGCTTTGAGGAATATGAAATTTATATCAGGTTCATTAATTCACTAGCCCCTCACATTTGGTCATGGCTACTTGCACATGTTGTGGAATAATAGTGTTTCATGCAGGGATTTCTCAATCTAGAAACAGAGGCGCTGATATTTATCACAGCATGTCTATGCTTTAGAGAGAAAAAAGATGTGGCATACTGATGCATACGAAAAAAAGAGGTGGTTTAAAGTAATTCATTTTAGATTACTTATAAAGGTTGTCATTGTTATAGCATTATTACAGTTTTGTGATCAGCACTTATGTCAAATAGTAGTACTTTTGTAGATAACAAGATAAAGTACTATGCTCTATAGTTGTATTTTTATGAAAAGCTTTTGATAAGTACTTGTGTCAAGTAACTTGTATTTTGATGGATAGCATATAATAAGTATTTATGTCATTTAGTGGTACTCTTACAGATAGCATGCTTAAGCTACATAGGCTATATAGTAAAACAATTAAAGATAGCATGTGTGATATGTATGCATACTAGCATGTTATAAGTACCTAAACCATATAGTGGTGCTTTAACTGAAAGCATGTAAAAAGTACTTATGACATAAGAGAGTACTTTAACATATAGCACGTGAAAAGAACTAACTCTACATGATTGTGCTTAATAATTAGCATGTGAAAGGTATTTATGCCATGTTATAGTACTTTAACACACAGCATGTGTTAAGTATACATGCTATATAGTGTAGTGGTACTTTTACGGATAGCATGTGAATAATATGCCTCAGAGTGCTTTATTTGATAAGCATTTATGCTGTGTAGTTGTTAAGATAGTATGTACAAAGATATACTTAGTTTGCAAATGATAATCACAGTTAGTGATTATTCTTTCTTCTTTGCATTCACCGACTGAAAACTCTGGCATAAAGTTCTGGTTGTTTGTACTTCTGACCTTCAGTCTTGTTCCAGAACCTGAGTGTTGTGTGCACATGTGTTTAACAGATCTGACTTAATTATATGCAGATTATTGGTTCATTGCCTCTCAGACAAGTGCATTCTGACTTCCAAGGAAGCCTTTAATTAGTCGACTCTTACAACATGCTTGTTTTGGAGGCAGTGGGTCTATTCTTATTTTCCCCACAAAGGGGGATCCGGAACCCACACGGGGATCATAGTTAGTGACTGCAACAGTATCTAGATTTGGAAAGTTAACAGACCAAGATGAACTAGACTGCAGTGGTAGAATTTCTGTAAATGTCCCTATTTATGCCTTTTGTCTTCAAGGGCATATGATGCTAGTGCCATTTTATTTTATGTACCAGTCAGCACTTGGCGATGTGGTCAGTATCACAACAGCACTTTTGCGTCCCAGATCTTTTCCTGGTACCATTTGTAGGTTAGGTCACACTCTAACTGTAGCAAGCAACTCACAGTGTATTAAATTTATCAGGCATTCTTTACTTTCTGAGCTTTTTGTGACCCTGTGCATTTGTTTACACTAGCCTGCTATGTTCCATTTCTTACTTTAACTCTTTGTTTCCAAATTCTTACTTCTTTTTCCTAATTTCTACTTAAACTTCTTTTGTCCCAATTCTTTAACTCCATCTGTCCTAATTATTATTTCAACTCCATCTGCGCCAATTCTCATTTTAGTTCCATCTGCCCCAATTCTTTCTTTAACTCCATCTGTCCCAATCCTTATTTAAACTCCTTCAGCCCCAATTCTAACTTTAACTTCATCTGTCCCAATTCTTATTTTTATACTTTCTGTGCCAGTTGTTACTCTAACTCCTTCTGTCCCAGTTGTTACTTTAACTTCATCTGCCCCAATTCTTATTTTAACTCCATCTGTCTCATTTTTTTTTTTTTTTTTTTTTTTTTACATCTTCTGTCCCAATTCTGATTTGATTCTTTCTGTCCAAATTCTTACTTTAGTTTCTTCTGTGTGAAAATTCTTACTTTAACTCATTTTGTCCCAATTCTTACTTTAACGTCTCCTTTCCCAGTTGTTACTTTAACTCCTTCTGTCCCAACTCTTACTTTAATATCTGCTGTCCTGATTGTTATTTTAACTCCTGTCACAATTCTTACTTTAATTCATGCTGCCCCAATTGTTACTTCAACTCCTGTTGCAATTGTTACTTTAACTTCTTTGTCCTACAGTGTTATTATTGAAACTCCATAGGCCCAAACATTTTGGTTAAAGTAATGAGTTGAGCCCAAGTCAGTTTATATTATGTTTTATGTTTTGCTAAGTTTCAGACTCTCATCTGTTAGCCTCTTTGATTTACATCTCCTGCACTGCTGCATGCACTAATCTAATATCTTGAACTAGACATCCCTTTATCTAAGACTATGTTATTTGTTATAAAGATATACTAGTGTTATCTACTAAAAAATATTGCATTATAAAGCAGTAATAGTATAAGTGTAATGCATACGTTTAAAATAATGTTACTTTAATTTTTTTAGGGTACATGTTGACGCTTTAAATTAGTTGATTCTTCAAAGTATAATTAATAAATGATAATAAAGATTAGCTTTAATGTAATGGGTTTATATTTTCTTTAGGTTTCACTTGAGTAACTTTTGTTTCTTTAACTTTATTAGCCCCATACTGTTTTAAATTCAACATTTCTTATCTTAAAGTTGCTGTATTATAAATTAACAATTTGAATGTGTTATTGAGTTAAATTATTACAGATATGAGACTCCCCCTTCCCCTTCCCCACAAAAATCAAAGCCAGACTTGATTACTAGGTCTGCATACCCTTAAATGGGTATCAGGCAAAGTCCTGGGTAGTAAAGGCAGCCAGTCTGATGCTGACCACATCTCCTACCGAGTGCCAGTTGATCTACGAAATATAGGTATAGCCCTGTGTACCCAAAATGCCTCCTGAATTTATATAGTCCTAGAGTACTCACTTTGTTTTTCTTGTTCCTGTCATCTGTCTTGCTGACAGATTGTCATCAGTTTGTTTGTGGCTGTCATTTTGGACAACCTTGAGTTGGATGAGGATATCAAGAAACTGAAACAGGTGAGATTTATCTGTATGATTTGAAGGTGACACATGTTTATGTTGTGCTTGATTTTTTTGTAATCAATTAAATGTTTGAAATTCTTATCGTAGATGATTATTATTATTAAACAGGCGGACAGACTGGCTGGCTCTGCACAACTTGGTGGAATACTGCTACATGATAGGGCAGATGTGGTTAGTACCTTGTGGGAGAGCGTGTACAGTTTGGAGGAGCAGATGGATTACGACAGTCTGGTGAGATTGATGCAGTTGGGGTTGACGAGAGGTTCTGGCAGAAGCTCAAGGCTCAGAGGAAAGGCAAGATGGACGTTTAATCAGAAAGCTACTGGCGCCATTAGTATTGGAACTCTTCGCTGGCTGCTGAAGATGGGGACAGAGCGCTTATGGGAATGCCCTGAGTGCTGTGATGTTGGTTCTTGAATCAAATCAAATCAAATCATTGTAGGTGATTAGTATCTCCTGGAAAAACAGTGGATATCATGCATGCTTGCTGTGCCAGGTTTAAAGGCTCAAATCCCAACTGGGCATTTGATGTCAAACAACATGAGCTCATGTCTCAGCCTAGCTGTAAACCACAACATATCAACTACTTTTTAACTCCGTCAGTCCCAGAAGATCATAGCTGATGTGTGATTGAAACAAAGTTGATGACAACAAAAGTATGGGTATACTGCATCTGTGGGAGTCCAGATACACAGTGCATTGTGGGTGATTGTGGATTGATTTTGTTTGTATAACTATTTATATATATATAGTTCTTGTCTCCTTCTTATGTGGGTAATCAGTTCTCTTAGTGAGTTAGTTTTCTTCTCTCTCTCCCCTCCTTCACCCAAACTCTTCATTACGCTTTTTAACTGCCCATGATGTTCTCATGTTCATATGTTCTACATAATTTTCCACTAGTTGGATGATTGTACATGATTCCCTTCTATAGGGACTGGCTCTATATAGCTCTCAAGAACTTTCTTTCTCACATATGTTGATGGAGATAGTAGAATATTCTGCTTTCTGCATGCGATACATCCTTGCATTGCCGACTATTGCAGATAGGCTAAAGGTGCTGCAGATAAAGAAGACCCTCTGTATGAAGCTTTGGCTGCAGGTAAGGGTCAGAGTGTGGAAAGGATGAAATCGTGGATGGCTCAAGCAGAAAGCACAATAGATAAGTATGCATCCAGGAGAACATTGGGCGAGGAGAGGAGTGGGTCAGAGTACCAGAGAAAAAGTCTGACCTGTGTAGGGTTATAATCACATTGGGCCGGGAGTGTAGAAAGTGGCCAGCGGGTGCTACGGAGGTGGAAGTCCAACAGATGATTCAGGACAGTTCACGTCCTGGTGTTCTGATTACAGATGGTTTGGTGTTGAGAGGTAAGAGAAGTGCCTGGGGGTTCATAGCGAAAGCTAATGGAAAATCTTTAGTGCATGACAGCCTGACATACGACATTACAACATCTACAATGAGAATGGAGGTGGAGGTGGTAACTGCAGCTCTCCGGTGGCTAGAGAACACGATGCATACACATGTCATAATTGTAACAGACTCTGAAAACATGCTGAGAAAGGTGAATACAGGGATGCTTCGAGCAGAGTGACAAACTTCACAGGGAAGATCACAGGTAGTGAGCATACATTGGATCTTTACTCCAGCCATGCCAACTTAGTGGGTAATGAACAGGCAGGCAGATTGGATGGATCTGCACCACTGGGTGGTGAATTGATACATGACAAGGCAGATGTGGTCAAGGCCCTTTGGGAAAAAGCAACGGAATCAGTAGAGAAAGAAGATTATTATGGCCTGGAGAGAATGAAGCACCTGGGTGTAACCAGAGAGTCTGGTCGGCTCATTACACTCAGAGGAAAGGCAAGACCGACATATAACCAGATTGTGACCGGTACCATCAGTATTGGAACTCTGCGCTGGCTGCTGAAGATGAGGACGGAGCACACATGGGAATGCCTGGAGTACTGTGATGTCAATTTTCTTGACTCAACACAACTCAGCTCAACTCTTCATTCTGATCTAATAAAAACAAAAACAAAACAAAAATTCCTGTTCAGTTATATATATTTCTATAATTCATTAATTCATTGTCCTATTGTGCAAATGTGTCACATGAGACTCACAGTCTATTTCTCAGTTCTGTTTTTTCCTGTGCAATCACTTTGAAATCATTAGGTATAGCAATGGGTCGTTTTGTTTTATTTATTTTGCTATACATTATCGTCGGTAACTATAGACGCGACTGCGACCCGAAAATGCAAAACGAATTGTTAGTTATTGAGAAATTATTTTTCTGTGCTCTTTACGTGAAAGATAAAATCGGAACAGTTATTAGGAGTTATTGGAGAGATGCCAGGCATGACCTGAGATGGTTTTGACGCGTATAAAATAAATAGATTTTTTTTTGCAGCACGCAGTAAATTAACGGTAAGTAATTTCGTAAATATCTTCTTAATTAGCCAGATTACCGCAATGTGTGTTGTATTTTTGAATTCTGCGTTAATTTCTATATAAGTGTGGGAAATTTCACAAAGATTGGCAATACAGCACATGTTTAAAAAAATTGTTTAGTGGCATCACTGTTTTCGCTTTGAATCCAACAACGGTAAGTAATTTAGTAAATATCTTCTTAATTAGCCAGATTACCGCAATGTGTCTTGTATTTTTGAATTCTGCGTTAATTTTTATATAAGTGTGGGAAATTTCACAAAGATTGGCAGTACAGCACATGTTTAAAAAAACTGTTTAGTGGCATCACTGTTTTCGCTTTGAATCCAACAACGGTAAGTAATTTTGTAAATATCTTCTTAATTAGCCAGATTACCGCAATGTGTGTTCTATTTTAGAATTCTGCGTTCAATTTTATATAAGTGTGGGAAATTTCACAAAGATTGGCAATACAGCACATGTTTAAAAAAAACTGTTTAGTGGCATCACTGTTTTCGCTTCAAATCCAATAACGGTAAGTAATTTTGTAAATATCTTCTTAATAAGCCAGATTACCGCAATGTGTGTTGTATTTTTGAATTCTGCGTTAATTTTTATAAAGGTTTGGGAAATTTCACAAAGATTGGCAATACAGCACATGTTTAAAAAAAAGTTTAGTGGCATCACTGCTTTCGCTTTAAATCCAATAACGGTAAGTAATTTTGTAAATATCTTCTTAATTAGCCAGATTACCGCAATATGTGTGTATTTTTGAATTCTGCTTAAATTTTTATATAAGTGTGGGACATTTCACAAAGATTGGCAATACAGCAAATGTTTAAAAAAATTGTTTAGTGGCATCACTGTTTTCGCTTTAAATCCAATATGTTTGCACTAGGAGACCGTTTTTCCCCGCTTTATTATTAACTTAAAATAATTATTAAATTAGCTAACGTTATTTTAATCATTAAAAAAAAAAAATCCACAACCATTGTAGCATTTGTTCATGCATCTGTCATTATTTAGAGCCCTTCGTATTCTCTGTTGGAGATATTTTTGCCTGATCACCCCCAAATCCCAATAATTTAGGCCATCATTGGTAAGATGATTCTTTAGTAAATAACTTAGGATGCTTAGTAAATTGACAATGTTATGTGAGTTACTTTTTAAACATCCACAAACATTGTACCATTTTTTCATGTGTTTGTCATTATTTAGAGCTTACAGAATTTTATGTTGGAGATATTTTTACCTGCCCATATCTTGATCACGAATTTCACAAATTCTGGCACTAAATTCAACATTTTTTTAGAACAAAGCGTATAAAACCTAATCTAAAACAGAGTATAATTGTGTTTATTACAAGTGAAGCGAAGACAAAGGCTACAAAAAATCACACATTGGTCTGGCTAGATTCCCTTCCAAATAATCAGCTGCAGCAATTTGTTGATTTTGCTTTGAAACAGGCAATGAGGGTTAGACAGCTAAAATGTGAAAGAGAGCAAGGCAATGAGAAGGTGGCTTTAAATAAAAATTATAAAGCTTGCAGAGATGCTTATGAGAAGGAGCTGAAGACTGCAGTAGCTCAGATAGGGTTAGTTCCTGCACTGCTACAGTTGAAAATCTTTAATGATTTAGATAGTAAGTCCAACATTCATTTACAGAGGTTTTTAACTGATATTTCATGTTTATCAAATGTAATACTGCGACATGTATGGCATCAAGATGGCCAGGACTGTGTTTACTATGAGATGGTGAGGAATGGGGGAACCACACAAACAACAGATAAATGTAAGAAAGTTATTGATTTGTGGTACTGGAGAGAACATGATGAGCCATCAAGTGACTTTTGTAGTATGAATGTTAAACAGTTTTTAGTCGACTTCGCACAGGGGGATTTATCATTTTTGTAAAATTGTATGTACTTGTGGTCAGTGTTTCCATCGTCCATTAGTATGTTTTACATGAATAAGAAGGTTATTATTATTGGTTTTGATTTATAATAAAAGAGCTGTTGAGCTCACACTGTCTCACGGGCTGGTATTATATGGAAAAGGCATTTCAAAAGTGAGCTTAGTTGCTTTACTGGCAGGTTTAACAAATACTGAAGGTACACCTAATTTTGATATATGGTGTCATTTGTTTTGTGCTGCAACACATCACATGGTTTTGAGTGTTTATCAATGTATCAGTCAGTTAGCTTATTGTATATTGTATTGGTAACTTTATTTTACTTTTTCCTGACTGTTATCCTCTTTTCATTTTTTACCTGTCTCTGTCTTTTGACTTGTTGCTATCCCCACTGTATGTCCTCTCCTGTGGTATTCCCTGGCTCTGCTGTCTCATGCATTCAATTCTCAGATCCCATATAATTTTAAGCTGTCTCTGTGTGATTTTCTATTCACTAAGATCAGTCCTCTGTGTGTCGACTGGTCATGATGCATACCAGTGTAAATGTTATGCTCTTGGATGCTGGGCAAACATGGATACTACAAAATTTTTTTATTACACAATAGCTGTTGTTTTCGGAGAAGCTGTGGCGAATGTATAATCACATCAGAATCCCACGGTATATCAATCATCCATGCTGTCTCTGTCTGTCTGTCTACATTTCATATGTATCTATCTCAATCCCCCTTTTTTTTTTAATGTAAGAACATTAGTGCTATTTATTGTTATCCCTCATGTATGCACATTATCATTCATTTCTCACTGTGGCATCATGACTAGTTGATACTTTTAGGTGCTTCGTGTTGTAAAGACATTCACATTCATGCGCTTTCTATGTCAATTTTGTTCAAAAACATACTGCCAAACTGTGTCTTTTTTCTTCTGCCTTCTATACCCTAATGGGGCATTAGTCCTCAATCAACTCACGCTGTCAATATAGTCATTGCTATTACATTTGCTCTTAGTGTCTTCCCTATCTTTTTAACTTCACTTTCTAGCTCCCTTCTGCGTGTGTTTTTATGGTCTTTGTATATTTTTATGCCCCTGTTGGTTCCAGTACACAACTCGTTGGCAGACAACTATAAATTTATAAGGTTTTTGCTGAAAGAAAGTCAGTTGATGGCCATTTTCATATGTTAATTAGGTCATGTCGACTGACCTTGGTATTTTTTTATGATCTTTGTGTTTACCTTGTCGGGACGCACAATTTGATATGCATGTCGCCAGGCTCGCTGGCGGATAACCTTACAGGTATAATGTTTTGCTTGAAAATAGTGAGCTGGTGGCCATTTTCATATGTTAATTAGGTGCATAATGTATTATATGTTTTTAAAACATGCATATACAGTTAGGTCTAACTGTCCCGCTTCCAGCAATATGTGGTTGCTAAGGGATTCGTTCAGAAACAAAAAAGTTATGGCGGTAAAATCAAACATTGAGTCATTTCATCTCACTGGGTCGCAGCCGTGAAGCCATGTTTTATTCATTTCCACTACAATTTTTCTGCCGTGGTGTCCGCCACTAAAATGTTAATATCTCCGCTTAGAATCGACTTGCAGGCTTAAATGAGGTACCATTGGATTTGTAATTTTAATCTTTATCTAGCTGTTATGATTTCGTAAGTAAAAACCCAAAATATAAAACTTTACTAGCATCCCTAATATCATGGATGGAATTCAGTCCAGCACCATTGGTTTCTTTCATCAATGTATGCCTTAGGGTTTCATTTGGACATCCTAGTTTCCTAAAGCCTTTTATTTCCTATTTCAATGTTGGTTTGGTGATTCTCTGCTCGTCTCTTCTCGGAATGTGTTCCAGTTTAGTGCATACTTCTCTGTCTTATAACTGTCGATACTCTTGGTTGCCCAGATCATTCTATAGATAGTATGGCAGTTATCTTAACGCCAAATGTTAGGCAGCTTATATCAGACCTGACATCCTATAGTGTACCAAGGGCTTCAGGCCCAGGTGCGCTCTGCGGAGGATACTAGTCTTATCCTAAGAAGAGGAATTACTACCTGAAAAATATGTTATGGCAGGACAAACCAGGCTCTTAGCCTTGGCTGACACCTGGTCTAGGAGGGAAGCTCTGACAGGCGGACATTGAGCACTGATCTTGTGATCTGGCAGCTTCTGCAGCCTGTTTTGTTCCCAACATACTGGTGTTACCTTTCCTTTGGAGTCAACAAGCCAATTCTAAAGAGAGAGAGAGAGATCATGATGCAACATATGGTCTCTACAGCACTGCCCAGGCTTTGCGCTATGGAGAGCAGGAACTTACTTGTGGGAACAAAATACTGTGGATAGTGTTTGGAAGAGGGGCATCAGGAAGGGAATGAGAATGAAGAAAGAAATTATTGCAGAAAAGATGAGAGTTGACCGTTTGAGAAGAAAGAAACTAAATACTAATGTTGACAATAATGGTCCTGAAATCACATTCAATATTTGTGGCAGACTTCTTAGTGTAGGTGGGTCTTTATAGTCATGCTGGCCATCGCCATGGACTGTGAGGTCACATGCCTCCTTATAGCGCAGTATAACACTATCATCTGGAAAGACGGAAAGGTGCCAGTATATAAATCTGGTAATACTAATACCTGGTAGAAACCTTTGATTAATTGCATATTTGTAGTTTTGTTTGATGCTGTCATCAATGTCTTTGACTCAGAGATTATGAATAGTTTCATAGTCTGGCATATTAGAGTTTGAAATTAACTGTCGATGATTTGACAGCAGATCACTTTGTGTTGATTTTGACATCAGTCTGAGTGTTGAAGCATTCAGAAAGAAATGGCAAACTACTGAACTCAAAATTGTCTAATAAAACAACAAGAAGCTAACAAATATGATCTCCTGTAAAGGATAAGCAACACATTTTTTGTTTGGTACACTGTTACCACTTACTGCATCCGTGGCTTAGGCGTTGCGAATCCGACTTGTAATTCCAGTGTACCACGATTGAAACCCACTGATGGTTGCGTGGATTTTTATCATGATATGGAGCGTCGCAGGTCGACCCAGCCTAAAATGGGTACCCAGGATGTATGGCCTGGGGAAGTAGAGACGGCCTGAGTAATGCTGACCACATTAGCTTATTGGTCTATAAAAATATGTGTGCTCTTCCCATATGCCCAATGCGCCTAAAGGTGTAAAAAGTGATTTTTACTTACACAGTCACCATTTGATTTGCTGTCTTTGTATGCAATTTAGAATTGGCACAGAACCAATTCTAAATTACATACAAAGACAGCAAATCTAATGGTTTGCCCACTTGAAGAGAATGCCTTCTGATGTTATAATATCCAAGGCATATACCAAAAGAAGAGGACAAAATGTAAGAGATAGACAAGATTGGAAGATAACATCAGAGAAAGTCTGCAGCACCACAATGTGTCTATGGTCGAAGTAGCCAGAAGAGTACAAAACAGGACCTTATATCTCCCTCGACACCCGAAGCATTAAAAGAGGACACAAAGAAGAAGAAGACAGTCACAAATGTGTCTGTTCATTTTTTGTCTCATTTTTTTGTTTCTACTAAATGGCAACCAAAGGTTCAAATTGGCTGAAGACATCCTAGAGATAGAATCGACATTTCATTGAAGTCAGAGTGCATCTGCCCAAAAGGCAAGGGAAAAGAAACCCAAAACAGATGGGATAGATCTGTGAAACAGATGCACATGCAAAACTCAGATCCTGGAACAAAGCTAAAGCCCAGAAATGGATGAACAACCCAGACTTTCCTCTGGATTTTACAGTCAGAGAAGGCAAACAAACAGTGTTTATCTCATGTTAATTAATTATATCCAACAGTTAAAATTACGAGAACAGAGCCTAGAAACACAGGAAATGTTACCACTGAGGCTGAGGATATTCTCCAAGTTTCCGTAAGTGTGTTTGTATGTATAAGTGTTTTTGTGTGTGTGTGCGTGTGTTTTTTGTGTGTGTGTGTGTTTTTTCAGCAGCCATGGACAGAATACTCCAGTTGATGAGGCCAGAATTATGTGCCAACACTACCACGGAACATTCTCTGCCCACACTACCAAGGAACATTCTCTGCCCACACTACTAAGGAACATTCTCTGCCCACACTACCAAGGAACATTCTCTGCCCACACTACTAAGGAACATTCTCTGCCCACACTACTAAGGAACATTCTCTGCCCACACTACTAAGGAACATTCTCTGCCCACACTACTAAGGAACATTCTCTGCCCACACTACCAAGGAACATTCTCTGCCCACACTACCAAGGAACATTCTCTGCCCACACTACTAAGGAACATTCTCTGCCCACACTACTAAGGAACATTCTCTGCCCACACTACTAAGGAACATTCTCTGCCCACACAACCAAGGAACATTCTCTGCCCACACTACTAAGGAACATTCTCTGCCCACACTACCAAGGAACATTCTCTGCCCACACTACTAAGGAGCATTCTCTGCCCACACTACTAAGGAACATTCTCTGCCCACACTACCAAGGAACATTCTCTGCCCACACTACCAAGGAACATTCTCTGCCCACACTACTAAGGAACATTCTCTGCCCACACTACTAAGGAACATTCTCTGCCCACACTACTAAGGAACATTCTCTGCCCACACTACCAAGGAACATTCTCTGCCCACACTACCAATGAACATTCTCTGCCCACACTACCAAGGAACATTCTCTGCCCACACTACCAAGGAACATTCTCTGCCCACACTACCAAGGAACATTCTCTGCCCACACTACTAAGGAACATTCTCTGCCCACACTACTAAGGGACATTCTCTGCCCACACTACTAAGGAACACTCTCTGCCCACACTACTAAGTAACACTCTCTGCCCACACTACTAAGTAACACTCTCTGCCCACACTACTAAGGAACACTCTCTGCCCACACTACTAAGGAATATTCTGTTAAACACTGTCCAGAAACATTCTGTGCCCACACTGCCAAGGAACATTATGTGCCCACTCTACAGAGGAACATTCTGTGCCCACACTGCAAAGGAACATTCTGTGCCCACACTGCAAATGAACATTCTGTGCCCACACTGCAAAGGGATATTCTGTGCCCACTCTACAAAAGGACATTCTGTGCCCACACTACAAAGGAACATTCTGTGCCCACACTACAAAGGAACATTCTATGCCCACACTGCAAAGGGACATTCTGTGCCCACACTGCAAAGGGACATTATGCGCCCACACTGCAAAGGAACATTATGCGTCTGCACTGCAAAGGAACATGTGCCCACACTGCAAAGGAACATGTGCCCGCACTGCAAAGGAACATTATGCGTCCGCACTGCAAAGGAACATTATGCACCCACACTGCAAAGGAACATGTGCCCGCACTGCAAAGGAACATTATGCACCCGCACTGCAAAGGAACATGTGCCCACACTGCAAAGGAACATGTGCCCACACTGCAAAGGAACATTATGCATCTGCACTGCAAAGAAACATTATGCACCCACACTGCAAAGGAACATGTGCCCGCACTGCAAAGGAACATTATGCACCCACACTACCAAGGAACATTATGTGCGTGCACTACCAAGGAACATTATGTGCCCGCACTGCAAAGGAACATGTGCCTGCACTGCAAAGGAACATTATGCGCCCGCACTACCAAGGAACATTCTGTGCTCACTGTGATCATAAAATGGAAGAGAGGTTACCTTGACATTGGGGTTTATGGTTTATTTTAAATGCCAGATTATTTGATCTTCATTATCATCAATTTTCACTTTTGCTGCTAAGCATCTTTGGAGAAACAGTTTGCGGTCCATTGCTTGATGGGCAGCAGTGGCTAATTCTCTGTTGATGTAAAAGCTCTTTAATGTCATCAGTCCATCCTTTGCCAAGTCCATTTCTTGCTTTCTCATTAAATCATTTCATATTTAGCGCCTATATTGGCAGTTGATTATTTGATAAATATCATTTTTTATGTCTGGGCTTTCACCCACCACTGCAATGATAATAGTGTTTTAAAAAGATTCTTATGTTATTATTGTGGCTAAATATTATCATCTTCAAGATCTGTGATGGCTTGTCTGCTAACTTTCTTGCATGATATTCACATGTTCAAATCACTGTTAAAGTGAAGATTTTAACACAAAATCTTACCCTGGCTTCCATGTTGACCCAGTCTAAAATAAGTGTTAGGAATATTCCTGGTAAGCAGTCGCTTCCGATGTGCCGGGTAGTTAGCATCATTTGGATATTTTCTCCAGGTTATGCCAGGGTGTTGGGAAATGAGCAGGCAGATAGACTGGCTGGCTCTGCACCACTTGGTGAATTGATTTATGACAAGTTAGATATTGTGAGGGCCCCTTGGCAGCAAGTGAACAGTGGGGAGGTGCATATAGATAATTACAGTCTAAGGAGAATGGCGCTGCGAGGAGTTACTAGGGGATCTTCTACACCAACCATTGTGCCAGCTGGTGTAAATCTTTAAATAGGGAGCTTGCAGGACATCTCTGAATCCACTGTTCCAATGTGGGTTCCAGGGCTCCATGATGGGGGGGGGGGGGGGGGGGGGGGGGACCGCTGTCCTTCTAGCAAACATGTCACAAAAGGTGACTTCTTAACTTCCATGTCCTGTGAGTTTAGTAGTGATGTCAATCCACAACCTTCTGTCTCATGTACTTTCAATCGTTCTGACACAGATGATCAGACTGTCCATCATATTTTCTTTTGGTCTCCCTCTGCCTCTTCTCCCCTCCCAACTTTCCTACTGTCACAATGTATTCAGTTTTCTCCTTCTCATCATATGACCAAAGAATGTAAATTGTCTCTTTCTGATATGGGCAATCAGTTCTCTTCATCTTTCAAGACCTCTTCGTTTCTCTTTTTGTGTGTCCAGGGTATTCCCATCATTCGTTTATAAACCCACATCTTCACAGCTTCTAAAAAAGTTTTCACTAATTTACCGTCCTTTACACTACTGATTTTATCTTTATTGTGAACAATTCTTTTCAGAGATCACCCCCAGATGGTGCGACTCTACAAAATGCCAAACGATTTTGAAATCTCAGACATTCGAGAAAGTTTCATCCGTCAGTTTACAGGATTGGACAACAGCCTGAATCTAGTTGTCGACTCACAGGAGCAAGCAGAGAATGTGTCGCCTGACCTCAAGTCGACCTATACCAAACTGATCAAGTCTCCCATGCATGAAAGTAGATGTGGTGGGGCAGTAGAGAAGAAAACAGCGATCACTGGCATCATAAGGTGAAAGTTTGGCTTAATTTGAACTACATGGTTATAAAAATTTGCTGTTTAAGAATAAAAAAATATTATAATGTTTTGGCCAGGGAACAATAAATGTTAGTTTAAGAATGAACACTGTTATTATAGTATTTCGCTGAGGGAACAATAATTTTTTTTTAAATAATAAACAGTTATTGTAGTATTTTGCTGAAGGTACCATAAATGTTTCTTTAGGAATAAAAAGTTATTGTAGTGTTTTGCTGAGGGAACAATAAATGTTTGTTTAAGAATAACAGTTAATGTAATGTTTTGCTGAATGAACAATAAATGTTTGTTTCAGAATAAATAATTATTGCAGTGTTTTAATGAAGGAACAGTAAATGTTTATGTAAGAATAAATGTTATTATAGTAAATTGCTGAAGAAATATAAATGTTTATCTTATTGCTTCTTCTTCTTCTTCATTTAAAAAAGCAGTTCAGTTGGCACGTTCTGCATTGGTTTACAGCTAGATACAATATCTACTCCTGCTGACCGAAAACATCCAATTTTATCAGCAACTTAACAATTCACTTTTTACAGCATGCTTGTTAACCATTTCGCTGCTATGGACGTATGTATAGGTCTGTCCTGTAGACTACTACAGCCATAATAATATGTCTTCCCTTTTCTGTGCCCTCACTGCTATGGACGTATGTAAAGGTCTGTCCTACAGTAATAATACGTCTTCCCTTTTCTATGCCCTTACTGCTATGGACGACTACTACAGACTATACAGACATAATAATACGTCTTCCCTTTTCTGTGCCCTCACTGCTATGGACGTATGTATAGGTCTGTCCTGTAGACTACTACAGACATAATAATATGTCTTCCCTTTTCTGTGCCCTCACTGCTATGGACGTATGTATAGGTCTGTCCTGTAGACTACTACAGACATAATAATACGTCTTCCCTTTTCTGTGCCCTCACTGCTATGGACGTATGTATAGGTCTGTCCTGTAGACTACTACAGACATAATAATACGTCTTCCCTTTTCTGAGCCCTCACTTCTATGGACGTATGTAAAGGTCTGTCCTGTAGACTACTACAGCCATAATAATACATCTTCCCTTTTCTGTGCCCTCACTGCTATGGACGTATGTATAGGTCTGTCCTGTAGACTACTACAGACATAATAATACGTCTTCCCTTTTCTGTGCCCTCACTGCTATGGACGTATGTAAAGGTCTGTCCTGTAGACTACTACAGACATAATAATACGTCTTCCCTTTTCTGTGCCCTCACTGCTATGGACGTATGTATAGGTCTGTCCTGTAGACTACTACAGACATAATAATACGTCTTGCCTTTTCTGTGCCCTCACTGCTATGGACGTATGTATAGGTCTGTCCTGTAGACTACTACAGACATAATAATACGTCTTCCCTTTTTTGTGCCCTCACTGCTAAGGATGTATTAATACATTTTTTGCTTACAGATTGCTAAGGACCATTATTCTCGGGGGTGATATGGCAATACACATTACCTAAATCTGATGAAGTTGACCCATTTAAATAAAATAAAACCTTTATCAGGTGCGGTTAGGTGTATTTAGATGCATTTCATGTTATCCCATTGTTTTGGTACCATAGAAGCGTGGGCAGTGAATGGTGTATTTTTTAGGCTAAAATATATTTCTGGTTTTGCGTTAGTCTACTCTTTAAAAAAAATTGCCAGAAAATTGGTTAATTAAAGTTGATGAAGAAGGAGTAATAGTAAGGATATTTGAAACGTGTGAGTTATGGGCTGGGTTATCTTCCACGGCACACCAGCAGACATGTGTTTTTCTGGCCATGAGCAAGGCTGACCATCTTACCCAGCCATCTATATCAACTGGATTGAAATGGATCCCTAGTCGTCATGAAGAAAGTATGGTCACTTACTGACATGATGATTAAAATTAACGTTGCTTGTATACTATACAACAGACATGAATGTGTATGTCTATCAAAGTACACAATACTGGTGCTATTTTCAGATAAATTTCTAGTGTAGTTCGTATCACGTCTGCCTTACAATCGAAAGATCCTGCGTTCAACCAAGTGACTTTTTTTTTTAAAAGTGTAAATTTAAAATTTCAGCTCTTAGCAGTTTCGGCAACACATCACCAAAGTATAAATTATTTATAGAAAAAAAGTAATACCATGGAGAATACAATTAATTATGAGTAAAGCGGTACATTTATGGATCAGATTGGGGAGGGAAGGGGAAAATGGCCATCAGTGAGAATTGTAATTCATGAGTCACGGCCTGGGGTGAAGTGCTCGGATTCTTCTAAACCAGTTCTTCCCTAGGAGAATAAACATATTTAAGAGTGAACACTATTGTTGTAGTATTTGTTTTGAGAGAACAGTAAATGTTTATTTTTACTCAATGTTCATGTGCTGTAGTGCTGTGTACTGATGTAGAAATAATTCTGTACACAGAGAAGCTAATCAACAGAAGATGATCAGTGGAGGCTCAGCTCAGCTGGTTCCTGTAGGGGGCAGAACAATGTCCATCCTGGCCCATCAGCACCAGATCAGAATGGAAAGAACGTAGGCATTTGTGTCTTTTCTTTTTTTCACCTCATTCTTCTTTCAATACAAATTCATTTTATACCTGTAAGCTATGAAAGTATAGAGTTAGCGTACTTAATTGACAATTAGTGGCTTGGGATCAATGGTGGTATAATATGACTATGTGCATATTAACTCTTTCAGCCCATGAATTTTGACAGACTTGTCTCGCATGAATTTCCCTTTACAAAAATAGCAGAAGGGGTGGTGAAAAAACAAACATGCAATAGAGAATGTAATATGGGCAAATTTTAGTTTTTTTAATATTTGTCATCTCCCCAGTTATGGATTAATGACAAAAATAGGAGTTCCACTGTTCTTGCTTACTAATCTTCAGCAGCAAAAGGTCTTTTCCAAATGATAGAGCAGTGAGGTCAGCCCAGCTCACGTAGATACTGGATATTTTTTCAATTGTTTATAAAATTTATGAAAAGAAAACATCAAAGAAGGGAACTGGCCACTAATCCTCATAAAGGCATGGCCTAATATTAAATTGTCTAATGCATATCATAACATACCTTAGCAGGAGTACCCAATATATCCAGTATTCGACAATGTGAGTCTGAACAATCAACAGTCATTTAGAAAGTTGAATTGCCGCCAGTAAGATGTGTGTTTACAGAAAATAAGGTCGTATTCGATGGAAAGCGAAGTACAACCAAATAGAAAGGTTTGGGAGAGACTGGGAGTGAAAAGAGGATTATTGGAAGTGAGGCCAAATAAAGAAATTTAATTTTTTATTGCCAATTTAAAAAGCCTAACTAAAAATAGAAGAAATAGATAGGTTAGCTAGAGATAGAAAATGATTCAGTTGGAGGCATAAGATCAAGTGTTGGATGTGCAGCAGAGAGAGTGTAATCAGGGCAAGAGACAGACAATGTTAGAGGTCAGTTGCAGAAAACCTTCGTCATGGAGATGGCACAGAATTGATTGACTGAGCTTGAGTATAATATGTTGAACAGTCTCTGAACTCTCAGCTGTTCAGTCTTATTGACTCACCACCAGGCAACTTGTTTGAGTTTTATTTGTTGATTATATAATGAAGAGATACTCATGGGTAACACTACACTGTGTAAGCAAAAAGGGCCTGTTTAAACCTTTCATGGTAAGACTTAGACTAAAACAGTTGACCATCTGTGTTGTGTTATTTCAATGGAAAGGTTATTTTTTGTGCTTTATTATCCTCTTCTTATATTGTCCTTTTATTTTTCTTGTAGTGCACATAGTGTGGCATTGTCATTACTTTCCACAGCCTTTTTTTCTCATCTGCTGCCAATAATTTCTGATACTGGTATTCCTAAATGGACCTGTAACACTCGTCCTTGTTCCAGTTCAAAGATGTATACATACTACAGATGTGTTGGTATTCCAAGCCTTTGCCATGAAGAGGTCATTCCAGTGTTGATTAACATGGCAAGACTTTGTCCCCAGTGAATGTGAACTCAGAAGAACAGGAATACCAACAATGTACTTTCTACTGAAGCAGAGATACCTGCATTGGTTGGGATATATCTCCCATATGGATGATGGTCACATTCCAAAGGATCTTCTGTAGGTGACCTGGAAGTAGAGAACACGATTTGCAGGAAGGTGAAAGCTACACTCTAAACAAATATTGCCAGTGTGACATGAAAGATACCAACATTGACTCAGAAACTTGAGAGGGATCAGCTACAAACCAGCTCCTATGGAGGCATAGAGTAAAAAACTGACTGTCTCACTTGTCAAGAGCCTAACATGGCAAGCTATAGAGAGGAGACATCTAAGAGAAGACCAGTATCAGTATAAGAGAGTATAAATATTTTCATGTAAAATATGTGGCAGAGACTGCCAGTCCTGCATAGGACTTTACAGTCATGGCAGACGCTGTTGCCAAAACTAGCACATGAAATATGGCTGCATGTGTTGTTCAGATGTTTATTGTTTCTGACATGTCGTCAGTCGCAGCACTAGAGGAGGGTCCAGACCCACAAGCCTCAAACTAAAGGCACATCCAAATGTCAAAGAAAACGGCGATGTCAATCCTCATACAAGTCTGATGGGTGCTCGCCGAACGGATGATTTTGATATCAAGGACATACAACAGAAAAAACAACAAGCTGAACAGAAAAGGTAAGTTATGTTTTTTCCAACTCTTTCAGTTCCAAAGAACGCATGATGTGTTACTGATTATTCCACACCTGTAAAACATCACATCAAGTGTCTTCTTATAATTAAGTTTTGCCAGTTTATACAAAATAAATGTGGCAAGCACATGGTTATCTTTCATTAGTTTTTTATTCCTACAACCCAGCAAGTGGTTAGAGTGTTCATAGCAGAATTTTATTAGAAAATAGTGCTTAGTGTACAAAATTGTATAGGATCAAAACAGCAAATCTTGTTTTATTTTTTTGACCTTAGTCTAACTTCATTGGTCTTCACTGTCTCTCTTCCCCTCTAGCTCTTTTGTTGTCATGGTGGGCTGCAGGTTTCTCATTCTCATTATTTGTCCCAGAAATGTGGATGATCTTTTTATGTTTAAAGTAATCAGCTTTCTTTGCCTTCTCTGTCCATCCTTTTAGAACATCACCTCTCTGCCGTTCCACAAATTTTCTCACTAATCTGCTGTCAATATGTTCTCAGTATTCTTCTATAAAACCATTAAGTTCTAGCATTTTTATTTCCCCCAGTATTTAATGCTGCCATCTAACCCTCAATCCTGTTGCCTAAAACATTTTAAAATGCTCACATAGCATATTGTTGTGTAAAGGGTAACCTTTATCGTTATTTAACATATTCAGTGGTACTATAAGACAGATCATGGAAGTAAAAGACACACAATTTAATAAGAAGCAGAAGATCAAATGCTTTTGTCATCTTGTTAAAACACAGCCATAGCAGCTAACAACATAGACACTACATTTAAAACACAGCCATAGCAGCTATCAACATAGACACTACATTTAAAACTCAGCCATAGCAGCTATCAACATAGACATTACATCTAAAACACAGACATAACTACGACCAACATAGACACTACATCTAAAAAACAGCCATAACAGCGATCAACATATACACTACATCTAAAACACAGCCATAACAGCTAACAGCATAGGAACTACATCTAAAACATAGCCATAACAGCTAACAGCATAGGCACTACATCTAAAACACAGCCATAACTGCGACCAACATAGACACTACATCTAAAAAACAGCCATAACAGCGATCAACATATACACTACATCTAAATCACAGCCATAACAGCTAACAGCATAGGAACTACATCTAAAACATAGCCATAACAGCTAACAGCATAGGCACTACATCTAAAACACAGCCATAACAGCTAACAGCATAGGCACTACATCTAAAACACAGCCATAACAGCTAACAGCATAGGCACTACATCTAAAACACAGCCATAACAGCTAACAACATAGACACTGCATCTAAAACACAGCCATAACAGCTAACAACATAGGCACTGCATCTAAAACACAGCCATAACAGCTAACAACATAGGCACTGCATCTAAAACACAGCCATAACAGCTAACAACATAGGCACTACATCTAAAACACAGCCATAACAGCTAACAGCATAGGCACTACATCTAAAACACAGCCATAACAGCTAACAACATAGGCACTACATCTAAAACACAGCCATAACAGCTAACAACATAGGCACTGCATCTAAAACACAGCCATAACAGCTAACAGCATAGGAACTACATCTAAAACACAGCCATAACAGCTAACAACATAGACACTACATCTAAAACACAGCCATAACAGCTAACAACATAGGCACTGCATCTAAAACACAGCCATAACAGCTAACAGCATAGGAACTACATCTAAAACACAGCCATAGCAGCTATCAACATAGGCATTACATCTAAAACTCAGCCATAGCAGCTATCAACATAGACATTACATCTAAAACACAGACATAACTACGACCAACATAGACACTACATCTAAAAAAACAGCCATAACAGCGATCAACATATACACTACATCTAAAACACAGCCATAACAGCTAACAACATAGGCACTGCATCTAAAACACAGCCATAACAGCTAACAACATAGGCACTGCATCTAAAAAACAGCTATAACAGCTAACAACATAGGCACTACATCTAAAAAACAGCTATAACAGCTAACAACATAGGCACTACATCTGAAACACAGCCAAAACAGCTAACAACATAGACACTACATTTAAAACACAGCCATAACAGTGATTAACATAGACACTACATCTAAAACACAGCCATAACAGTGATCAACATATATTCTACATCTAAAACACAGCCATAACAGCTAACAACATAGACACTACATCTAAAACACAGCCATAACAGCTAACAACATAGACACTACATCTAAAACACAGCCATAACAGCTAACAACATAGACACTACATCTAAAACACAGCCATAACAGCCAACAACATAGACACTGCATCTAAAAAACAGCCATAACAGCGATCAACATAGGCACTACATCTAAAACACAGCCATGACAGCTAACAGCATAGGCACTACATCTAAAACACAGCTATAACAGCGATCAACATAGGCACCCAAGGAGGATGGATTGATAAATTAATGAAATTATATTTCCACATAGGAAACAGAATTTACCTCCCCACAATGCGTAACTGCAAAAGTGTAGGTTGAAGATAATCAACATACACAAGCGACTTTACTTCCCAAAATATTTCCTGGTACCCATGCTAGACTTGGTCAAATAGGGAACCAAGATCATTAATTTAAAAAAAAAAAATACCAGACGCAGAATAAAACCAAAAATCTTTGGGTAAGTAGGTAAACATCTAGCCACTAGAATACCACTACTCTTAAATGTTACTGTATGATATCTATTGTTAACAAAGCTCAGATTTTATTGTTTAGATGTTGGATGTATTCTATTTAACAGAAACCAACAGGAAGTGGACCTGAGGGAGAACCACCCGTTTTTTGACACCCCACTGTTCCTGGTTGGGAGAGAGTCCAAGTTACGCAAGATCTGTGAGATGATTGTCAATGCCAAGTACAATTATGTTTTGAGGGACCCAGATACAGGCAAGAAGATCAAATCCAAATACAAGCAGTTGCAGTAAGTCTGCCTATTGCGCTTATATTCTTTATGTCTGTGTGTTTATCTGCCTGCTTGGTCAGATTTGAATAGCCACCTGAAACAGTACTAGGTGCTACCTGTTTTCCTCTCTTCTTCTTTTCTCTACCCCTCGAATGCCTCACAGCATCAGGGCTAAAATAAATATCTGGAACGGGCCCTTCTGTTCACTTCGAATAAAGTACTTTTCATTGTCTCTGATATTTCTGCCGTCCATCTTCTGTGTGGTCGACCTCTGGACCGTTACCACTGTATCTGTAAAACATTGCTCTCTGTGGTGTCCTGTCTGCTGCCAATCTTGTTACACGGCCAAACTGTTTGATTTGATGTCTGCCCATAAAGTTCAGTATTGGTTCTGGCCAACTCTGCTCCTGATATCATTGTTCCTAAGTCAGTGTTTCCTCATTACACCTATAGTAGTACATAAACATTTCATTTCATTTATGTTTTCTGTTAATACCAAATGTTGGGTTGCAGACATCAGACCTAATACTTCACATTGTGCCAACGGCTTCAGTTGGAGTAGCACATGTTGTTTGTTACTTGTTATGCATATTGACATCCTTGAACATCAGTGCCACCCATCCACACTCCACCTCTGGTCTCAGTGTCTTCATTCTCACCATGCCCAATATTAGTTGACTAGCATATCTTCTTTCATTGCCCCTCAACTGGTTTCTGCACGCTTGACCTTGTTTAATATCCATTTCCAGCAGGCCGTTCATTGTCTCTGACTTGTTTGTCATTTATAGAAAGCAATGCATTAAGTATGTCTGCCCTAGAGAAGTGCTTTGGGGGAGGATACTAGCCTTATCCTAGGAAGAGAAAGTCCATCCTGAAAACCTAATGTTATGGCAGAGCAGACTAGGCCCTTAGCCTTGGCTAGCAGCGGGTCTTGGATGAAGTCCTAGACAGGCGGACAGACAAAACACTGCTCTTCTGATCCTGCAGCATCTGCAGCAAGCTTTGTTCCAAATGTACTGTTGTTAGACAGGCTTAGAAGTGGATCATAAAGCCATTGCTTTGTTTTATAGAGAGGAGGAACACTTGTCATCGCCATGGGTGTGATTCATATGCCCTTCTGTAGTGCAGTATAACGCATCTGAGAAGACAGAACGGTGCTAACATGTCTGCCTGCCTCACTGTTGCTTTTTTGTGTATGTGAATCTCCTGCCTCATTTACAGCTCTCTGGTGGGCTGTTTTTATCTGTTTCTTATGTTTCCCTCATGCTAAGGTTTTTTTTTAAAATTATTTATTTTAAAATTTTTTTAGAAAAGTCAGTACAACTGCTTTTTTGTTTTGGTTTTCAAATTGTTTTGTAATTATCTGAATTTACCCTGTCCTGCTTTTCTTAAATTTTCTCTTCCTTCTCCTTTATCTTCACAACTAGTGAGAATCATACCTCTCCCACAGCCTGACCAATAAAATTGGTAAGTTTGCATGCTCCAAGCATCATTGGAGACATGCTGTAAATCCTACGTTTACAAACAACTGCTGTTTCAGAAAGCACTGTGTAATCTTTATCCAAAGCAGGTCTTCTCAGCCAATAAAAGGTAGCAGGACAGAGCATCTTTTCGGTACTGTTTTACAAGATGACTGTGTTGGGATGAGGTGTTTTCTTCTACTGCTTCTTCCTAGCTATTAAAGGTTCATGGTTTCAACTGTGATGAAGTCTTATAAGGATCTGCACACATCTTGAATTAAGAATTGACATAATAGCACTTGGGACACCCCCATAAGTGCTCTGTGCCCATCTTCAGCAGCAAGTAAAGAGTTACAATTCTGATAGTACCAGTAAATAATTCAGATATCACAGCCTAGCTATAAACCACAACACAGCATGCCAACCGGACTTCCAGTCCAAAAAGGAGGATTAGGCATGGCAGAATGTTAAGATTCAAAATTATTTTTGCTTCTACAGCACTTTGCTAATGCAGTTTTCACATATGGACAGTAGTCTGTGGTTTCGCTGTCTGAGCTACTGTGTTTAGTGCTTGGTTTAGTCCTGTCAACTGTGTTTTTCATATGGAATGCCTTTCTTTTGTGTCGTGGTATTCCATGTGGCCAGTAGCCAGTTTATGTGTGTGCTGGTGAAATACCTTATGTGGTGGTTCTATATGTGTATAGCCAACTGATCGAATCTGACTACTTCCATCAATGACAAGCTGCATTTCTTGTGGCAACTGTTGACTTTGGCAACTCTAGCAACAACATGTTCCTATTTATGGATTGTTCGGGGACTAATTGTTTGTTCACCAGCTTTTCAAATGGGACAGCCAGGGACATTCATTTGATTTGCACTGGCACAGGAACAGAGCAAGTGTGGGGAAACCCAATTTCAGGGAAGTTGAAATCTCACCTAAGACAGACTGCATGCCAACTACCCTTTTAAAGGTGAATGCAGAAGAAGAATAAAACTAAATACAGGGAAAGAAAATAATATGTATCTTTGTTCTTGTCTTGCCTGTGGTCACTAGCAAACTGTTAGGACTGGTTACCTATCTGGACTGGGTAATGATTATTGTGACTATCCTGTCCTGTATCTCTATGATGTTTGAGACGCCACGCAACAGGATCATGGAGAACCCAGTGCTGCAGGTTAGTCTCTGTGTTGTCATATGTCTCTGTCAGTATTTGCCAGTCTGTGTGTTTGTGTGTGTGCAAGCTTGCGCACCCCTGTCTCTCTCTCTCTCTCTCTCTCTCTCTCTCTCTCTCTCTCTCTCTCTCTCTCTCTCTCTCTCTCTCTCTCTCTCTCTCTCTCTCTCTCTCTCTCTCTCTCTCTCTGTGCGTGCGTGCAGGCGGGCGCACCAGTTGTATGTTGACACATGTACGACAGTGTCTGCCAGTGTGTATGTTAACACATGTGTCAGATGCCGCTTTGTCTGTTGGCAGATGTGTGTCAGTGTCTGCACGTTTATATGTTCATACATGTGTTAGATTATATATGTTAGATTATGTGTCAGGCTTTGCTTGTTTGTATATTGGCACATGTGTCAATGTGTGCCAGTGTGTATATCAACATTTGTTTCAATATTTTCCAATTTGTATGTTGGCACATGTGTCAGTGTTTGCTAGTTTGTATGTTGGCATGTGTATAAGTATTTGCCAGTTTGAATGTTTGCTCTGTTGTGTCAATTTTTTTTTTTTTTTATGATTGTGTTTGTTGCAATGTCTGTTTCAATGTTTGCTTGTCTAGTGATTCGTCTAAAGCAATTTTCTTCAAAAGCTAAAGTGCTCTTTAACATTTTTTTTTAAATCTGAGTGTGTGTCTGAATGTGTGCATTCATGAGTGGGTGGATGTGTGTGATTTTCTTATACATTTAAGCACCCTTTTGTACTGCCTGAAATCAGGACAAGCTTGGAAGCAGCAGATCAATACTTGGACAAAAGTTGTTAATGCATTAATTAGCCAGATTTCTGTAATATTCTTCTGACAGTAAACACTACCAGCACTTTTTTGGGGCATCATTCTTTTCAGCATTACTGTAATAGACACTCTGCACATTTTTTCTAGACACTCTGGTGAGTACCAGCACTTTTTGTTGTAGGGAAAAAGGCCTTGGAAAGAATTAATATATCAACCATGTGGCACAGAAAGAGCTAATGACTAAAATTTGAGGCAAGTGAACATTAAGTTGGCAATGATACAGTTGGGAACATAGCATTAAGAGATGGATGAAGAACAGTCTAAGAGAGACATCAAACAGAGAGTGTTGGAGATCTGTTGCAGCCAGCCTTCATTGTTTGCAGGTCCACCAGGCTTACAAGAAGTAATAGGTGAAATAAACCTGTGAAACAAAGGTAACCAGCATTTTGTTGACCATATCAGTGGTCGAATGCCAGTTGGTCTATCTAAAATATAGGTCCTGCCCCAAATGCCCAGTTTGCCAAAGCCATGGAATGTGTCTTTTGTGCATCTGACTGATTGACTGCTTGACAGTTTACATAGATTGCCTGAAACTTTTAGTTGTGCATGACAGTACCTTTATTGTTGTATACAGCTCATGTATAATTCTACAATGTCCCACAGATTGCAGAGTATGCCTTTGTTGTGTGTATGAGTATTGAGATGGCCCTGAAGATCACTTCCAATGGACTGCTGTTCACACCCAAAGCTGTTGTCAATGATTTCAGTGGTGTCCTGGACCTGTATATTTATGGGGTGAGTTTGGGCTGTTTATCTCAAACCCACATTGTAAGAAAACTAGTCTACAAGATAATTCCCGTACATCAACATCATGTAGCAGGTCCTTTGCAGAACGTCGCTCTCATCATGCTCTGCCTGAAAGAAACTCGGTCTCTCGCCAGTTTTCCCGCCTAATGTACTTTCATACTCAAGTACTCAAGCAGTCACTTATATCCTGTGCCTATCTTCGTGTCGGTCGGCCCCTGCCACCTCCTTCCTGGTACCATGCCTTCTGCCTAATTCTTTCCAATCCGTCGTGGCGCTTGATATTACCAAAATATTTCAGCTTTCGAGAAAGGATGCTGTTTATTAGCCAATTTTCCTTGATGTTCAGATCTTTCAAGATGTCTTTCAAAATGAATGCTCTCAAAATTCTAATTTTTTTTTATCTTCTTGCTAGTGCTTAACCATAGACTTTTAAGACTGTTCAATCCCCATTGAGACATCAATTATTGGGAAACACTCAAGGCCATTGAAAACTGAAAAAAATGATAAGTCAATATAGAATGTAAAAAAAGATGGGTGGGGGAGGGGAGGGGGGGGGGGTGGTGTAAGGATAGAGTTGTCAGTCATAGAAGCAGGAGAAAAAAGTTTTATCAGTGTGTGGTTTATGTCCATAATTTTTGTTTTGTTTAATTAATTTTGTATATTTCCACAGTTTTTGGATATTGTTTCATGTGTAGATTTCCTCCATAATTATTGTATTTTGTTTCATGTGTGGGCTTCTGTCATAATTTTTGTGTTTTTATTTTATTGACATGGTCTACTTCTATATGTATTGTATCTTAGGTTATTAATGTTGTCTGATTACACAGTTATTTTTTTTTTTTTTTTGCATTCTTGGTATATCATGGTGAGATGTTGTCCCTTTACAAATGTGCACTCAAAATAGCAAGAATGCCAACAGTGTTCTTTCTACAGAAGCAAAGAGACCTGTGTTGGTCGCTACATGTCTCTCACATGGAGGATGGTGGCATTCCCAAGGTTCTCCTGTATGGTGAATTGATAAAAGTGATAAAATCTACTGAAAGGACATATGTAAATGTGACTTGAAAGTTATCACGATTGACACCGACACAGGAGATTTCAGCTGCAGAGACTCTTTTGGAGGCAGACACTGATAGTCAGACTGTTATAGTTTAGAAGAAGCCAAAAGCAGCAAGCATATTTCAATCATTGTTGTGGTTTGGTTCAGTAATGTGGCTTTTTATTTATTTCTATTGGTGTTGTGTTTAAATCTGTTGAATGGTTTGTTTCTAAAATTATGTTTTGTTTTTGAAATTGGGAAACTATTATTCTATTGTTTGCATCAACCTACCTACTACATGAGTTCTAACGACAATGTTGCAAATGTTTGTAGGTGAGTGTTGTGTTCATGTGCTGGATGCCTCGCAGTGTAGAGCCACACTCTCGTGAGCAGATCCTCATGATCCTCCGTTGCTGCAGACCTCTGCGTATCTACAGTCTAGTTCCCCACATGAGGAGGGTGGTCTATGAGCTAGTCCGTGGGTTCAAGGAGATTGTCTTGGTGAGTACTCAGTGACACAAGGATATGCAGGGATATGGGACTTTGGATGGATTAATGGGTTGGTGGGTGTATTGTTGACTGGTTGGCTGGATGGATGGGTTGGTGAGTGTATTGTTGACTGGTTGGCTGGATGGTTGAGTCACCAGTATGTATTGGTCCTCAAATACACCTGATATGTGTCCCTGCAGTTGTTAACCTTTGACCCTTAAACTCCTTGCAGGTATCGGTGTTGCTGATAGTTTTGATGTTTGTGTTTGCTATTTGTGGTGTGCATCTGTTGGGAGGCAAACTGGCCAGATGTAATGACCATAGCATTACAGAAAAGGTAATGAAAGTTAATCTATTCATTTTACATTTCATATATCTATCTAAATATAAGTTTTTAAATAACTAGATTTTTAAGTATGGTTGGAATGACTTAAACATCATTTTAGTGGTTAAATAATTTGTACATCTGTAGTCAAACTTTGGGACAGGTTTCATCATTCCTCCTATAATTTTGTTATGAAGAAGTTATGTTGATTATTCATCTTCTTTTAGTCCATGCTGTGTGACTTTGGTAGTTAAATCTGTCCACAGTCATCTGTCTCATGTGTTTGTAGTCAGTTCTAACACATTTGGTCTTCCAGGCCATGATGTCAGACTTTCCAGCATCTTCTCTCTTGGTCTCCCTCTGCCTCATTTCACCTCCAGCTATCCCACTATCACAATGTACTTCAGTTTTCTCCTTCTCATCACATGACCAATGAGCTTAGATTGTCTGCTTCTGGTGTGGGTAATCAGTTCTCTTTGTAAGTCACTTTCTTTCAAGATGTCACCAGTACTCTGTCCATTTTGCTCTTATTGTTCGTCTATAAAACCACATCTCCATTGCCTCCACACAGTTTCTCACCACCAATCGGCAAAATTTCCATGACTCACTTCTGTTTATCAGGGTAGGATTCTTCATAACCACCATAATTAGAAGTAAGCAAAGGTCCCTTTTCCATGCATTTAGGTGAATAGGGCATATAGGGTTAGACCTATATATTTATAGACCAATCGACACAAGATGGGTGGTGTGGTCAGCCTCATGCCAACCGCCTTTTCTTCCCAGGACTGCACCCGGTACCCACTTAAGGCTGGGTCTACCTGGGAGTTAAGGTGATTTTTAAATTTAAAAAATCCAGCTCCACCAGGGAGCAAACACATGACGTTCCGATCTGCATGCGAGCATCTAGCCGCTACGCTACTGTGACTCCCCATAAACCACCAATGTCCACGAGTTCTAGAGACCTGTTGTGAAGTTTAGCCCACTGCCCTTAGCAAGTCAATCACAAAAGAACACTATTTAAGGATTTGCAGAATTTAAATGAGCTAGGCTGAAAGGCGCTAATATCCCAGCCTAGCTGTAAACCACAACACAATGCCCAAATTTGAATGCAGAAGAAAAAGAAGAAGAGGTGGAGGATGAGGAAGAAGAAGTAAAGGACGCTTTTCCACACTTTTAGGTATATTGAGTATACAGTGCTGGACCTGTATTTATAGACAAACTGGCACTTGGTGGGTGATGTGGTGAACATCATGCTGGCTGCCTTTATTTCCTTGGACTTTACTTACCTGGAACCCATTTTAGGCTGGGTGGATCTGGGAGCCAAAGTCATTTTAAGGAGGAAAATCTGAAAGAAGAAGATGATGAATCACAAATGATGTTCTTAATGTTCTAATGATAATTTTGCAGGAGAACTGTACAGGTATATTTTTTGTGGAGATCCAAGTTACAAAAATGCAGTTGGATAAAGATGACAACAATTTCCCTGGCATGTGGGTCCCCAGAACTTGGTAGGTCATGCTTGATTGTTGGTCACACCCATTCTTTTTGTTATAGTTTTTTTCTACCATTAAACATATGTTCAGTATCTTGCAGTTATTTCTGTCATCATTATGTCCTATTTGTTCTTTCTGTTGTAGTCATTTCTGTCATTGTTTGGTCTCACATATTAGTTTTATTGTGGTTTTTTTTCCCCTGTCATTGTTGGGTCTCACATATTTGATTTATTCTAGCTTTGTTTCTGTCATTGTTGGGTCTCACATAAATGATTTATTGTAGTTTTGTTCCTGTCATTGTTGGGTCTCACATAAATGATTTATTGTAGTTTGGTTACTGTCATTGTTGGGTCTCTCATAAATGATTTTTTGTAGTTTTGTTCCTGTCATTGTTGGGTCTCACAAAAATGATTTATGTAGTTTTGTTTCTGTCATTGTTGGGTCTCACATATTTGTTTTATTGTAGTTTTTTCCTGTAATTGTTGGGTCTCACAAATTTGTTTTATTGAAGTTTTGTTTCTGTCATTGTTAGGTCTCACAAATTTGTTTTATTGTAATTTTGTTTCTGTCATTGTTGG